TACTAAAGACACATTACAAGGATGATTGTTACTAAAGACACATTACAAGGATGATTGTTACTAAAGACACATTACAAGGGTGATTGTTACTAAAGACACATTACAAGGATGATTGTTACTAAAGACACATTACAAAGGAGATTGTTACTAAAGACACATTACAAGGATGATTGTTACTAAAGACACATTACAAAGGAGATTGTTACTAAAGACACATTACAAGGATGATTGTTACTAAAGACACATTACAAAGGAGATTGTTACTAAAGACACATTACAAGGATGATTGTTACTAAAGACACATTACAAAGGAGATTGTTACTAAAGACACATTACAAGGATGATTGTTACTAAAGACACATTACAAAGGAGATTGTTACTAAAGACACATTACAAGGATGATTGTTACTAAAGACACATTACAAAGGAGATTGTTACTAAAGACACATTACAAGGATGATTGTTACTAAAGACACATTACAAAGGAGATTGTTACTAAAGACACATTACAAGGATGATTGTTACTAAAGACACATTACAAAGGAGATTGTTACTAAAGACACATTACAAGGATGATTGTTACTTAAGACAGATTACAAGGATGATTGTTACTAAAGACACATTACAAGGGAAATTGTTACTAAAGAACGATTACAATGATGATTGTTACTAAAGACACATTACAAGGGTGATTATTACTAAAGACACATTACAAGGATGATTGTTACTAAAGACATGTTACAAGGGGGATTGTTTCTAAAGACACATTACAAGGATGATTGTTAGACATGTTACAAGTATGATTGTTATGTTACTAAAGACACATTTCAAGGGAGATTGTTACTAAAGACATGTTACAAGGGGGATTGTTTCTAAAGACACATTACAAGGGGGATTGTTTCTAAAGACACATTACAAGGATGATTGTTACTAAAGACATGTTACAAGTATGATTGTTACTAAAGACACATTACAAAGGAGATTGTTACTAAAGACATGTTACAAGGGGGATTGTTTCTAAAGACACATTACAAGAATGATTGTTACTAAAGAGACATTACAAAGGAGATTGTTACTAAAGACACATTACAAAGATGATTGTTACTAAAGACACATTTCAAGGGAGATTGTTACTGAAGACACATTACAAGGATGATTGTTACTAAAGACATATTCCAATGGAGATTGTTACTAAAGACACATTACAAGGATGATTGTTACTAAAGACATATTACAAGGGATATTGTTACTAAAGACACATTACAAGGATAATTGTTACTAAAGACACATTACAAGGATGATTGTTACTAAAGACATATTCCAATGGAGATTGTTACTAAAGACAGATTACAAGGATGATTGTTAGTAAAGACACATTACAAGAATGATTGTTACTAAAGACCCATTACAAGGATGATTGTTACTAACGCCACATTACAAGGATGATTGTTATTAAAGACAGAGAACAAGGGTGATTGTTGCTAAAACACAAGGGAAATTGTTACTAAAGACACATTACAAGGATGATTGTTACTAAAGACTCATTACAAGGGAGAATGTTACTAAAGACACATTACAAGGGATATTGTTACTAAAGACACATTACAAGGATAATTGTTACTAAAGACACATTACAAGGATGATTGTTACTTAAGACAGATAACAAGGGTGATTGTTGCTAAAACACAAGGGAAATTGTTACTAAAGACAGATTACAAGGATGATTGTTACTAAAGACACATTACAAGGGAGATTGTTACTTAAGACATGTTACAAGGGGGATTGTTACTAAAGACACATTACAAGGATGATTGTTACTAAAGACATGTTACAAGGGGGATTGTTACTGAAGACACATTAAAAGGATGATTGTTACTAAAGACATATTCCAAGGGAGATTGTTACTAAAGACACATTACAAGGATGATTGTTAGTAAAGACACATTACAAGGAAGATTGTTACTAAAGACACATTTCAAGGATGATTGTTACTAAAGTCACATTACAAGGATGATTGTTAGTAAAGACACATTACAAGGAAGATTGTTACTAAAGACACATTTCAAGGATGATTGTTACTAAAGACACATTTCAAGGATGATTGTTACTAAAGACACATTACAAGGATGATTGTTACTAAAGACACATTACAAGGGAGGTTATTACTAAAGACACATTACAAGGGAGGTTGTTACTAAAGAGAGATTAAAATTTGTTTCTTTTACATTTGTCCAATGAAGGACGGTAGTTTCCCTAGTGAGGTCATTTTACAAAGCAGGTTGTTATATGAATGAGCGGGAATATAAGTGAAATATCACCATTATGTCTCTAGCTTATCGTATTAAAAATGTAATTTTAATGGCCATTTTGAAAACCTGCTGAGTTTTATTTAGCTTTCATGCATCAAATATATATATACAAGCGCTACAAGTTTGATGGAGCTGAAAAGTTGGGCACAAAGGTTTATTGTCTTCTTCCTCGTGTAAATTTTGAGGCTTAATTTTCATACCCAAACCTCTCTGCCATTTCCGTGGTGGTAATAATGTACTTTACTTGATAAATGATTCATTCTTCTTGAAATTATGCATTTTTAAGGATTGGAATCTTAAAAAAATCTACATGTTAGTTGCAGATGGCTATGTGTATCTGGTTTGCTGTTAGGTAGAATGGGAAAGGCTCTTCAGCAAATCTTTCAGAAAAATGATGGTATTTTACTGCACACAGAAAAAATAGCAACTCCATTATAATGACATCAAGACTATAGTATGCGCATGTATGAATATATTTCTTATTTGGATAATTTTGCTTTGCAATTTATTTTGGCTGAATGTCAAGATATTGCAACAATTTTTATTGATTTTCGTAGCAATGCTACTTAAGATTAAAAGTGGATACCGTATGCACCATGCATTTTCTTGATGGGATTTGGAAAATTAGTAGCTGAAAAAATTACAATTTCTGCATATAGACAAATCATTTTGAAATATTCCTACAGAAGTGGAGCAAGTTCTTTGCTAATGGGGAAAAAACTAAACCGTATGATGAATGGAATTGACAGTTTGGGGAAGCTCTCCGAACAGAAGAATTTCCTCATCTTCAGAAGATGCAAAATAAAATGTTTATTGAAAGAGATCGTTTTTTCCTTCATTTTGTTTTCAAATTTGTAAATGTAAAATTTCCATTTTAAATTTATTGTATAGGAAATCCATTTACTTTCTAAGAAGTTTTAAATTTACGTGAAATAGAATATTGGATTTTTAATTTTTTTCGCTGTCATATCTGGTGATATTTATGTTGATTAGTTTTGAGAGATTTTCGGGTTTGTTCAGGGCACTCAAGCAGTACAGGATGGTTTTATTCCATCTCTGTCTTGAAAATCATTTTCTTATGCCTCGTGTCTTTAAATTCTAAATAACTATGTAAACCGTTTCTGCCTACATCAGCATACAGTGCTTAAGACTCAGGGACTGTACTTGTTCCTACTTGTTCCTCTGGGATTATTATCCAAATGGAAATGTGTTTTTAAATACATTTAATGATTTTGTAAATATGAACACTTCAAATTTTCTAAGCAAAACACCCATCAGTTAAGCCTTGGCCATGAATTTTTGGTGTCTTAGTTCAAATTCTTTTGTCACAATAGGTGCTATTATACATGTTATATAAATATCTATAGAATAGTAAATCCATCTGTCTGTATGCATAGTCTGTCCATCTGCCTGAAGACATTCTATCTGTCCATCTGTCTGTAAACATAGTCTGTCCATCTGTTTGAAGACATTCTGTCTGTCAATCTGCCTGAAGACTTTCTGTCTGTCCATCTGTTTGTAGACATAGTCTGTCCATCTGCCTGAAGACATTCTGTTTGTCCATCTGTCCGTATACATAGTCTGTCCATCTGTTTGAAGACATTCTGTCTGTCCATCTGCCTGAAGATATATAGTCTATCCATCTGTCTGTCCATCTGTCTGTGGATATTGTGTCATTTCATATGTCTAGACATTCTGTCTATCTGTCTGAAGATAAGTCTGTCCATCTGTCTGAAGATATTCTGTCTGTCCATCTATCTGAAGATATAGTCTGTCCATCTGTCTGTAGACATTCTGTCTATCTGTCTGAAGACATTCTGTCTGTCTATCTGTCTGAAGACATTTGTCTGTCTATCTGTCTGAAGATGAAGTCTGTCTGTCTGTCTGTTAAGTCTGTATTTTTTCATCTTTCTGTAAACATTTGTTGATCTGGTTTTGGGTTAATTTCTTCTAACATCCCTTTGAGGTGAGAAAGGTTGGGTTGGGTTGGGTTGGGTTGGGTTGGGTTGGGGGGTTCCTAAGGAAATACTTCTAAAGGCTTTGTCTGTTGCCCAATTTGTATGGTGTTTAAGACCAATACAATATAATATTTTGAAATCTCCACCTGTGTGGGGGAGGCATAGATTGTCTGTCTGTCCATCTGACTCAGTAAGTACAATCTGTTTGCCCATCTATCTGTAAGAAAAATTCTCTGTAGAAATTATGTCCGTCTATCTGTGTACGAATTGTCTGTCCATTGTATATAGTCTGTCCATCTGTACATAGTATTGTAGACATAGTGTGTCTGTCCAACTATCTGTGGACTAATATAATCTTTCATCCCCTTTGGTGGGAGATTGGGGGAGGCATATATTGTATGTCTGTCCATCTGTCTATATAAATTGTCTGTCTATTGATTGTAGATAGCCTGTCCATTGTTTGTAGATAGTCTGTCCATTGATTGTAGATTGTCTGTCTATTGATTGTAGATAGCCTGTTCATTGTTTGTAGATTGTCTGTCCATTGATTGTAGATAGTCTGTCCATTGTTTGTAGATAGTCTGTCCATTGATTGTAGATTGTCTGTCTATTGATTGTAGATTGTCTGTCCATTGTTTGTAGATAGTCTGTCCATCTGTCTGTAAACTGTAGACACGGTGTGTATGTTCGTCCCGCTGTATAAGCCACTAACATCGTACCTTTGTGATTACAGGTGAGAAGCCCTATAGATGTCCATTAGAAGGATGTGATCGGGCGTTTCCACAACTGTCTAACCTACAACACCATATAAGGAATCATGATAAGTTGGTGGACAGTCAGTTCCAGTGTCATCTGTGTGACAGGGCCTATCCTAACGAGGCGACACTCAAGGCTCACAACACACGGGTATGTATATGGGGGGGAAATGGGGGTAGGGGGGCTAACAAGGCAACACTCAAGGCTTATGACACACAGGTATGTAAAGGGGGTGAAATGGGGGTAGGGGGGCTAACGAGGCGACACTCAGGGCTCACAACACACAGGTATGTATATGGGGGGGGAAATGGGGGTAGGGGGCTAACGAGGCGACACTCCGGGCTCACAACACATGGGTATGTAAAGGGAGGGAAATGGGGGTAGGGGGGCTAATGAGGCAACACTCAAGGTCCATGACACACAGGTATGTAAAGGGGGGAAATCGGGGTAGGGGGGCTTACGAGGCAACACTCAAGGCTCATGATACACGGGTATGTAAAGGGGGTGAAATGGGGGTAGGGGGGCTAATGAGGCAACACGCAGGGCTCACAACACACAGTTATGTAAAGGGGGGAAATTGGGGTAGGGGGGCTAACGAGGCAACACTCAAGGCTAACAACACACAGATATGTATAGTGAGGGTAATGGGTGTAGGGGGGCTAACGAGGCGACACTCAGGGCTCACAACACACATGTATGTAAAGGGGGGGAAATGGGGGTAGGGGGGCTAACGAGGCAACACTCAAGGCTCATGATACACAGATATGTATAGGGAGCGTAATGGGGTAGGGGGGCTAATGAGGCAACACTCAGGGCTCACAACACACAGGTATGTATGGGGGGAAATTGGGTAAGGGGGCTAACGAGGTGACACTCAGGGCTCACAACACACAGGTATGTAAAGGGGGGAAATGGGGGTAGGGGGGCTAAAGAGGCAACACTCAAGGCTCACAACACACAGATATATATAGGGAGGGTAATGGGGGTAGGGGGGCTAACGAGGCGACACTCAGGGCTCACATTACACAGGTATGTAAAGGTGGGTAAATTGGGGTAGGGGGGCTTATGAAGTGACACTCGGGGCTCACAACACACATGTATGTGACGGGGGGAAATGGGGGTAGGGGGGCTAACGAGGCGACACTCAAGGCTCATGACACACGGGTATATAAAGGGGGTGAGATGGGGGTTGGGGGGCTAATGAGGCGACACTCAAGGCTCACAACACACAGGTATGTAAAGGGGATGGGGGAAATTGGGGTAGAAGGGCTTACGAGGCGACACTCAGGGCTCACAACACACATGTATGTAAAGGGGGGGGAAATGGGGGTAGGGGGGCTGCCCAGGCAACACTCAAGGCTCATGACACACGGGTATGTAACGGGAGGGTAATGGGGGTAATGGGGCTTACGAGGCGACACTCAACTAATTGATTTAATAGGAAATTCTCTTTAGCAGAGTCCATAACATGCATCTCAATATTTGTGACATATGAATGAATGTACTATCCTATGCCATCTTTTTGGTTGGTATACGATGTACAAGAAAAGGAGTTATAGAGACATCCTTAGCCTCCTGATTAAAGTGTGGGTGACAAGAATACAATACAATTGTGACGTTTATTGTTGTGTAGGCTGTACAGCACTGCGTACTCCAAAAGAGACAACACAGCGCCCCCTAGTAGCTGCATATACAGCGATCTCAATCTCTACTGTGATAAAATGTTTTCATGATAGCTTTGAAAAATTGATGAGGCTCCATCATATTCCTTATCATAAAGACGACCAATGTAATCAGAAAGAGGCCCGAGCGGGGTCAGAAAGAGGCCCCAGCGGGGTAACTTACTGCCAAGTAGGTATACAAGCACTCTTTTGAAGTTAAACCCTGATTTAATGGACCAGATACAATTTAAATGCCATGACTCTGTAAATTACGATGTTATTTTAATGAAAATTTTAGATTTTTCTCATCATATTGATGAATCTTTACAAGTGAGCGTTCTCTTATCTAACAAGTCAGATTCTATCACCTTTATTATACAAATGTTTACATGCATTTTTTTTTTAAGTGGAACATTTGGAACATGAAGATCCAAGTTGAAGTCAAATCTAAAATTTTCAAAAGATTTTGTTATAATGTTGCATTAAAATATGGGCGAAAAGATAATTTTTATACAAATTAACTGTGAAAATCTGATAATGAAAAGGACATTGTCTGATTTGGAAGGGTTGGGGAAAGGGTGCAGGTCTGGGTGCTGGGGAAAGGATGCAGTTCTGGGGGCTGGGGAAAGGATGCAGTTCTGGGGGGTGGGGAAAGGGTGCAGGTCTGGGGGCTGGGGAAAGGATGCAGTTCTGGGTGCTGGGGAAAGGGTGCAGGTCTGGGGGCTGGGGAAAGGA